GGTTTCCTAGCACACAGTAGGTGCTTGATCATTGCCCGCAGAATGGAATCTCCTAAAATGTTCTAAGGTCTAATCCAAAGACAAAAGCTATCAGCAATGAAATGAATTAGGAAGCTGCCAGTGGCAAAACATAAAAAGAGAGTTGATTGTGAGGTACATAAGGTATTGTAAGGCAACAGTCAAGGCCTCATGAAAAATGGAGGGTGTTGGGGACTGCGGTGCTTGGGAATCCAAAAAACGAGCCAAAGGTCGAGCCCTCTTTGAGAAAAGAAACTGACGATCTCCAACCATGCCTTTCCAAATTATTGGCACATTGCATTAGGGCAGCTCTCCTAGGCCTGAGTGTAAATTGCATTTTAAGTGTCTGATCAGCAGGCGTGCCAAATAGCCCAGAGCTCCTTTTTATGAAGCCAAGATTAAAATTCTGGCGCTGCTCTAGGGATCCGAAGGCTCTAGCAATGTCTTTCTAATTAACAACTGTTCCGACATTTCTAACCCTCTTCTACATCACTGAAAAAGAAAGAGGTAAGTCTGGCCCATTGTTCCCATCATCTGGCCTTACCTTTGCTATGATAATTTCCAACTCAGTTGGCAGTCGTGCTCGAGAAAAGTTAAAAGCTGACAATCGACCCACCAAAAAGCTGTGTGCAGATTTTTTTAAAAACAGCTGAACTCGCAACAAAAACCTGAGCAGTGAAAGCACTTTTGTCTGGATCTAGATCGCCACCTATCGGCTACCTGACTCAGAGGCAAGAATAAATTATTTCGCATCAGGGTATCTGAACGCACAGTTCAGCCAGGCGGCCAGGCATTCCATCCGTATATGTTTACAAAAGAAAAAGTTTTCTTTCCTTTTTAGCCAAAACATTTATCTGAATGCTTAGCAACACTTCACTGAGCATCCTCAGACATAAATATTTGAAAGCGGCCGCCCCTACGTGGCAGCGAGGATTCCCTCACTTCACCCTTATGAATGAAAAAGAGTCAGTGGGGGGGGGGGGGCCCC